TGTGAAAGAAAATGCCACTCTTCTTCAAAAATTTGTCCTAAAAATTAGAAAGAATACAAACTTACTAAGGGTTTTGTGTTGTATGCAGAAAACGCAAATTTTGTATTATTTCATCCATATTCTACTTCAAACACATTTGTTAGGGCAATATTCTATTTGCAGAAGTGTCCGGGTGTTAATGACATCCTCTTTTACATCATACCATTTAAGTGAGATTGTGCCATCTATTCTTTGGCTAATTTTGGGATCCAACACTTAAGAGGGGCTTTAAACTGTTATCAATCAAGCATCTCAACACTGAGCAAACATATACTATAAATTGGTTCTTTCTATTGAAGAATATTACTGCCATTTTACCTCAAATGTATATTTCCTTTGTTAAGAAGAGTGTTTGATGCTATTCTAATTAAACAAGACAAAAATAAAAGAAATCCATTCCTTTCTAATTTCCATACGTCTGGGTCATTCGCTCTAAAGTTTGAACGAAGTTATTTTCATGACAAAGTACTTCTATCCATGAAATTTCATCAAAACTAGGGAGGATGTGCCACTCAGGACTACTTCCCTTGAATGCCGTACTATTTGATTAATATCCGTACTATTTCAAGGTGATGTTTCCATGATCTGCTTTTAAATCTTGTTTGGTTTCTTTCTTCTTCTTTTTTTTTTGCCGCAGATGTCGAAGTTGTACCACCACAAGCTAGACAAGATTTTGATTCCGACTAACCCGTTCTTTAAAGGTCCATTGCCTTAGGAAATGAAAACTTTTATGTCTTGTATCAAGACCCTTTTAAAGCAACATAATAACAATTGTTTCATAAATAAATGCCTCCTTATATTTTTTACAATTTTTTGAAAACCTCTCCAAGTTGCTCGTCTAATGGTGGACCCCGCCCCTTACAATTCTCAGAGTTCCTCGGAATGATTGACCACAGGATTAGTGATGTTATATCAAGAACGATCTCCGCTTAGGCAAGCTACGGTGCTTGCTAGCCAGCTCTGCAGGCATTATGTTTTGTACACAAACATAAACAATAACTTTTGTTATTAAATAGTGTGCTATGCATCTTTACTTGTTATTTATTGTGGTGAAATTTCACTAATGGCCCAATTTTAAAAAGAGAGCTATACCATGAGTCGAAGAAGGTCGTAATTGATTTGAATGCCTGTATAACGTGTCAACTAAATGCATGCTATAAAGAATTTCAAAGGTAAGAAAAAAATGTTTCATATATCTAAGTGACTGAATGTTTTTCGTACTACCTTCTTCTCAATTTAAAGAAATATTGAAAGTGGTATATCAGAGTGAAGAAACTTGTGTTTTTCCCTTTACAAGCTCTGCTCTTTCTTACTTCACTTTCAAATTTCCTCTCTTGTTATATAAACATTTAGCGATTGCTTTACTTCACACATTCAAGCAATGTATACTATCCCTCCTAAAAAAAAACAGTTTGTAGATGTGTTAACAATAGATATGGCGACGAAATGTATCAGCATCTCTGAAATGCCTAAGCATAAAAAATGTTGGCAATTTCTCTGAATTTTATTTTTTATTTTTTATGGAACATTGTTTACATTAATTGCCTAGTTTTTGGTATGCAAATGGTGGACACTTTATTAATTTCTTTATATTTTTGTGCTGTACATATGTAGAGGAATCTTGTCATAAGCAATCGTGTTCGTCTGCCAGAAAGTTTGTTTTGTTTTACTCGGGAAGTTGTGAGGATTGTTTATTATATTCGTACAATGAATTTCAGTATGTTATGTTGTGTTACGTGTAAGCGACAATTCATTTTATAACAGCTCCTATCGTCCTAGCATTCATTGATAGTAGGCCTATATTGTGACACATTGAGATACCTTGAACTTGAAACTATGTTTACATCTTTTTCGAATTCAAACGAAAATACGAAAGAAAGATGTACAATAATTGTATTCACATTTACAACAGTTTGTTTATTACACATAAAATAAAGTATGTTTTATCACAAAATCAGTTTATTTTCCTTGTTCTTTTGTTTTGGAGGGAGGGGGATGTATTCAGAGCAAATTCTAAGAAGCAAGATGGTGAACTTTTCATTAAAATGGGACAAATAAGTTGTTATCAAGTTTTGATAGTGATTAAAATGTACAAGATAATAGACATGACGAAATTAAAATAACATGTCCCTCTTGCTTCAATATTGTTATTATACATATCTTCCAGCGGGATCTAAGTCGAGTTCTATAATGAACTTTTCTAAAATTCAGTCTAATTTTGATGAAATTGTTACTATCTTCATTTTGTGGATTTTGCTCTGTTTATTTATTTAATCCAATCTTAAACTACTTGGCTTTTCCTTGTCACGTTGTGATGCATGTGTTTGAATGATTGTACATGTCCGATGTAGTATGATCTTGACGATGTTCTTATGAACGGACGACTGATGTTGGTGTGAATATGTTTTTGAGTTGGTGTTGGTAATGTCAGAAGAATGTTGGCATGAACTGGAAAGGGGAGGTACAACGTCGGCACATGGTGGGATACGGCTTGGCATAACGTTGCTTCTACGTCGGCAAATGGTGGAGAAGAGGTTGGCATAACGTTGGTCTAGCATTGGCACATGGTGGAGGAGGGGTCGGCACTTGGTGGGAAAAGGGTTGGCATTATGTTAGGACAACGTCGGGGAGACGTCGGCACATAGTGTAAAAGGGGTTGGCATTACGTTGGTCCTACGTCAGGGAGACGTCGGCACATGGTGGAAAAGGGGTTGGCATTACGTTTGTCCTATGTCGGCATATGGTGGGATAGGGGTTGACATGACGTTGGTCATACGTCGGGGGGACGTTGGCCCGATGTTGGCTTAATGTCATTTCGTCGCTGTCGAGCCAACGTTGGCCCGCCGGCAAGAAAGCCGTTGGCCCAACATCACATTGACGACGATGGCGCAACGTAACAGCCCACGCCGTCGGCACATGGTGGGATAGGGGTTGGCATAACGTTGGTCCAATGTCGGAACTACGTCGGCAAATGGTTGGATAGGGGTTGGAATAACGTTGGCCCTACGTCGTGGAGACGTCGGCACATGGTTGAAAAGGGGTTGGTATAACGTTGGGCCAATGTCGAGGAGACGTCGGCACATGGTGGGATAAGGGTTGGCATAACGTTTATCCAATGTCGGAACAACGTCGGCACATGGTGGGATAGGGGTTGGCATAACGTTGGTCGTACGTCGGCACATGGTTAAAAAAGGGTTGGGACGACGTTGGTCCAATGTCGGAAAGACGTCGGCATACGGTGGAAAAGAGGTTGGCATAACGTTGGTTCAATGTCGGGAGGACATCGGCACATATGGTCGGATAGGGGTCGGCATAACGTTGGCCCGATGTTGGCTTAATGTCATTTTGTCACTGTCGGGCCAACGTTGGCCCACCGGCAAGAAAGCCGTGGGCCCAACATCATGTTGGCGACGTTGGACCAACGTAACAGCTTACGTTGGCCCCACGTTGGCGTAACGTCGTATTGTTATCTGGGGGGGGGGGGGGTGAAATGTATGAAATTGCGAGCGCGAGGCCTTTACGGTGTGGGGTAGGGCCCGCTTAACCCTAGTGAGGCCAGATATTTGAGATCTTTCTAGTAATGAGGCCCCCCCTTAAGATCTCTACCGTTTGTGTGTATAGAATACTATGGTAACTTCAATATTTTGACAAAATCACACATTTGCATGTTTACGGTAACTTATGCAAATAGCTAGGTCATACAATTCAGATTTTTTACCCAACAATCATATATTCTTCATATTTAAGCTTTCGTTTTCACTACATACATTTGTAAGACCATTTTGAATAAATTAATACAACAAAATAATTTGGAAGAGCCAGGTTACTCTTTATGTTATCTCTTTTTTTTTTAATGTATGTATTTCATTGTTTTTGTTGGTTCATTTCATTTCTTACTACAATTCAACTACTTTGCTGCCCATAACAAACATGGAATCTTTAAACAAGACCAAATAACCAATGTCTTTAATATCTCTTTTTAGGAAAAATTATATTTTGTTGTTTTGTACACAAATCACAAAAAAGGTGATTTTCAGCAAAAGGTTACCTGACTTGGGAACTGTTTTCAAATGCGTTCCGAACAATCAGAAAATGTTGAACCTGATGCTCTATGGTACATTCCGAGGCATTTCTTAAAGGGATAGTTGAGTTCTGTTTTCAGACCGCAAATGCCTTCAAAGTGCATGGTTATTGCTCCTATTCTTATCTATGACATTTCTAGTGTCCTTTTAGAACCTAAAATTTCTATGAAGGTAATTTAGACCCCAAAATGTGTGAAATTTACCCAAATCGAGCATACCTGTTTAGCTCCACTTTAACAAAAACACGGTGCCCATTAATTAATTATTTAATTAAAAACAACAATGCAAGGGCTGGCTGGTTGTGTGTAATATAAGCAAAAAGAAAATGCCAACGAAAAATCCAACATCCGCGTTGGCTGAAATACAACGTAAAAGCTGTTATTTCGTTTTTTCAACGTTTTTTTCAAATTTTTCAAAATATCTACTATTTGTGGTGGTACACAAGTATTAGAAATTGTTATATTTCAGCCATCTCTGAACCGATTTCGATCAAACAAAGATGGTTTTGTCATTTAAATATTATGTTCTTTCAAATTTGACACTCAGTTTTTCATCATCTCACAAAAAAATTATTTTGTGTAGCGCCCTCTGCAACAGAACTCAACCATCCCTTTAATGAGTAAACTGAACATTATTCATGCAATTTTTGTCTTCTTTTTTTAAGGTAAAAGGGAGGGGGGGGGGGGGCGTGCGCCCTTACGCCTTCTTGATCCGCCACTGGACGTGGTGGCGCCCGCACTAGTTGACCTAAACCCACCCTCCGCATCTAAACCGTGCAAAATCTAATTTTTCATTTTTTATTGTAAACAAACAACCCTCGTGAATCGTCACAGATACTCAGAGTGCCAACAATATGATCAGATCATTTCTCCGTATTACCGGTACTTGAAGCTGTCTCATCAATATCTTGGTGCTCATCAAGAGTAGAGGATCCATGAAAGTCAGGATCTCCTGTCAAGTCGACATCCTTTCTCTTCCATTTACATGTTGATTTCCTCTTGTCTTTACTTGAAGCTGTCTCACTAACTTCTAGGTGCTCCTCAGCCGTAGAGGTTTCATGTGAGTCAGGATCTCCTGTCAAGTCGACATTCTGTCTCTTCCGTTTACTTGTTGATTTCTTCTTTTCTGGGCACTGAGGTCTTTCTCTTGGAGGCAGACGGGGAGATTTATGTGAAGACTGGTGTGCTGAGCCATATCCCAGATTCGTTGTTGGGTCTGGCCACGCTGCACTAGGTTGTCCATCTCGAAAGTGATATGAGCAAACCCTATCTCCATACGTTGGTTCCCAGTTTTTGCCATTTGGACGTTTTCGATTTATCGCCTTTATCCATCGTTGACGGCCGTCTGCATCTTTATTTTGCAAAGGAAAAGGGAATAGTACAAAAGGTGGTGTGCATACGCAGGCCCCGTATTTCAGGCCATGTCTGTCACACAATTGTGAATACCATTTATTAAGCTTGTATGTACTGTTCGAGCACCCAATAACAGCACAGATTCTCCCCATGATGATAGTCTGATTGTAAAAAGAGAGAAAAATATTTCATGTTAACACAAATAATAATGGTTTCTATTTGGGCAGGAATATATTTCTTCTTTCTTGGGGAAAAAAAAAATCACAGCTGATAGTCTCAATTCCCCCCCCCCCCCCAAGAAAGGAAGAACATTAAGTTATTGCCTTAATTAAGGTTAAAATCTCAATGATCGTACAAATTTACCAAATAAATCTGCCTTGTTCCCTACAACACATGCTAGCTGTAATGGAATAAACAGCTAGCCCATTGGCATTGCCAAAAGGACATCAGCACTGCTTATGATGTCACCGGGCAAGCAGGACAGTGAAAGTGAATTTACAGCTGGCAGCATTCATTGTCATTTATTGAAAGAGTACAGGAAGTGAAGTGAAACTACTTATTTTAGTCAATGGATAGGCATAAGCTTGTTAAACGGTTTGTATAAAATCTTTTAATTTTAATTCAGATCAGTTTCAGAGTCTTTTGTTTTGTAGCGACTCATTCATTCGCCTTACTTTTATTGTACATTCATGTTCCAGTAATTTTCCATCACGGTACTTATTTATATTCACTATTCGGACCACGCGTGTTTATTCCTTCAATCACGCACAGTGGTTCCGCGCACCTGTTCACCCTCATATTTTCAACACCACAAGGTTTTTATTCACTCCCTCTTACACCTCGGTCGAGTCAACAACTCCTGTTTACATCTCAGTTGAGTCAACACGTCTCTGCATGATTTCCTCTCCGGGCTTTATTCTTCCGTGCCCATTACCTCTTTTACAGCATGTCAACTCTTTTTCTGCCGTCCTCAACGGGCTGGCAGTTTTCCTGTGGACCGTTTTAATAAGGACCGACATGGCGCCTAATTCTCTTCTGGGAGCCTTTCACCCACATGAGCTCGACTCAGCTCATCTAAACATTCATCATAAAAGGTCGGCGCATCAATCGAGCGACTCACTGCTCAGCACCACTACCGGCTCTGATGTCTGCATTTCTACCTTGGCCACCGACATCGAACAACTCACTGTTACATCGTCGAGCGCCACATTCCTCTCTTCTCTTCTCGCCTGTGAGTTGCTTCATCATCATCATCACGAGCGTCGGCGTCGCGTTCTTCGCGGCTCTGCAGCCACGTCAATGAAGTTGCGTTTCCGCCATCAAGCCTCCGCACCATCATCGCGTGAGCCCCTTCTTTCGTCATCATTTTCATTGGACTTTCGACGTCATTTCTATTCAGTCATAAGTTTTTATTCATGTCATTCCATTTAGTTATGTCCATCTCATTATATGACCATTTAATCTCTGTGCAATATTCTCAATTCTCATTAATATGATTCTCACTCTGAATCATTTATTTGCTAGACTTGTCTATACTTTGTAAGTGTGCAGTCTATTCAGTACCTCAATAAACTAACAAAAAGGGAATACTTTTGTTCATGTATTTTAATGTCAGCGCAACCTTGCTTCCTCGTAGCTAAAAGAAAAAGAGAGTTATGTTGTGTGATCAGTGAAAACGCTTTCAAATCTCCATTCACAATACCTCACACACTCATAATGATGTCACTGGGCAAGCAGGACAGTGAAGGTGAATTTACAGCTGGCAGCATTGTCATTGATTGAAAGAATTTGAACAGGAAGTGAAGTGAAACTACTTATTTTAGTCCATGGATAGGCATAGCTAGTCTTTGACCGAAAGCTTCAGTCTCTGAAGTCTGATATCGACGGTTGTTCTGCTGAGATTGCATCTGGCTTTTCTGACCGCCTCTATTGTCTACTCTTCCACGATGGCGTGTAGGGGATCATTCAGTCTCTATATATGGAGGTCTAGTGGAGCCAGACGTAGTCTCAGTGGAACAACAGACGATATAGAGAGACTGAAGCTTTTTGGTCTATGACTCTCTTGGACCGAAAGCTTCAGTCTCTGATATCTTCGGTTGTTCCGCTGAGATTGCATCTGGCTCCTCTGACCGCCTCTCTACATAGACTGATGATCGTCCTATCACTCCTATGGGGACTGAGTGGAACAAAAGTTCGGCCGGACTGCGATGAATGAGATATGGAACAAGATTTTCACTCTTTACATCCTCATAAATGCACTTTTGCTGCAATATTACAATAGACTTATTAAAAAATAACAAATAACAAACAAATATGTAATTTGCTCATAGCTTGCTCATTTAGATCCTAAATTAACGATTAATCCGAGAAAGTCTTGTAGTGCAGCGGCTTAGCAAGAAAATTGTGCACTTTTTGATAAAAGCATGAAACTTCTAGCATAGTTTGCTTTCACCATAATATTTATTTTCAGATGTGGAGGGAAGTCAGATTTGACCTCTGATGACCCTGATAGGTCAAATCCAAAATGGCCGCCAGGCCGCATGGTCTAATGTACAAACATGCTTAACTTTTGAACCAAATAGTCCAGAGAAACGTTTAAGGTGTCATTTCCAACTAACTTGGGGATGCCAATTCATCTGGTAGTACATTTGAGATCGCCAGAACTCAGGGTTTTACATTTAGGTCAAGGTCAAGGTCAAAATTGACTAAAAATAGCAAGTTTTGAATGGTTACAAATGGTTAAATCTCATTTATTTGTCATTTGTTCTCAAATTTCTTTAGGAATGGTTCCCCTGCATAGTCCTCCACCTTAATCCTTTTCAGGTAGTCTATTTCAGTTTGATTTGACCTCTGATGACCCTGAGAGGTCAAATCCAAAATGGCCGCCAGTCCGCAAGGGCTAATGTATAAACGCAGTAACTTTTGAACCAAATAATCCAGAAAAACATTTAAGGTGTCATTTCCAACTAAATTGGGGATGCCAGTTCATCTGGTAGTACATTTGAGATCGCCAGAACTCAGGGTGTGGCATTTATGTCAAGGTCGAGGTCAAAATTGACTAAAAATAGCAAGTTTTGAATGGTTACAGAAGGTTAAATCCCCATTATTTGTCATTTGTTCTCCCTAGCTATGTTCTCAAATTTATTAAGGAATGGTTCCCCTGCAGAGTTCTCCACCTTAATCCTTTTCAGTTAGTTTATTTAACAGTTTGATGTGACCTCTGATGACCCTAAGAGGTCAAATCCAAAATAGCCGCCAGTCCGCATGGTCTAATATACAAACGTGGTAACTTTTGAACCAAAAAGTGTAGAAAAACGTTTGAGGTGTCATTTCCAACTAACTTGGGGATGCCAATTTTATTACGTAATACATTGAGATCGCCAGAACTCAGGGATTTGCAAAGGTCAAGTTAAAGGTCATATTAGGCTAAAAAAGTGCTGTTTTCTTTTTTAAAATAAACTTTGCCTCTATTTTGACACTTAAGGTTTCATTATTTTAAAAATTAATAAAAAGACCCGTGTACCACCACTTTGACTATCCAGGGCCAAATTTCATAGAGCTGCTTATCGGCTGGTTCTGTGCTTACGTATTAGTTTCTACTTCAAAGCACTGCTAACCGTAAGCACACGAAAATGCATTAACCTTACGCTGCTTACTGGACGAAAATAAATTTTGTAACAATGCAACCCATTGTGAACGTACAAGGTACAAATTTGTCTGCTACAGTTATAGCACGAAAATTTGCTTACCGGTTAGCAGCTTTATGAAATTGGGCCCAGAAGACAAAAAAAGCTATTCCAAATACGACCTAAAACCTGTTCGTAACCACAGCTATAGATATCTACATGAATTTAGCACTGTCCACAACTTATGCATATCCTAATGATGGTAACGATCAAAATCTAACAGTCTCCAGAACAAGATCACAGTTCAGTGCATCCTTTCTTGCAGCGACAGTGGATTATTCATGCCACAATTTTTATGCTTCCGGGAGAGTGGTCCAAAGAGGCTGCCACCCAGTTGTTTCGTTTGTCCAGCCCAAGACAGATGGCTCTGCATCTCTGGATTCTTGGCCAATATCTGGTTTCAACAGTTGGCCTGGTAGCAAGTGCGCTTGAGGTGCTGCTTGAGTGCTGCCTGGGATGGAGGAAAGTTCTCCAGGTTTCTAGACTTCTGTGCGAAGAGCTGTTTCCTGGCATCATTCACTATCATGCTCTCACTGGTTCGGTCGTATTAGCACCACAAATCGCTCTGGCAGTAACATTGATCCTTCACTGACCTCCCTAGGCATGCACAGGAGTTCATTGAAGGAATCATTCACCTCTGGGAAAAGTTTTTCCTGTGAATGTAGAAACAGTGTGACACCCGGTGAACGCATGAAAGATTGGAAGAGTCATACATTGTGTCAGACTCATGGTGGCAACTATCATGATTTTATGAAAAGCCTTGTACCGAAAGCTTGATCTGAAACCAAAAGCGATCCCCAGCATCAGGAGCTGTCTTGCTGAATGAAGCCACGGCCAGTTCAACCGCATCTGTACCAACAATACGTATGGATACCCTTTTACACCCATGGGACAAGGCCTGCCAAGTGTGACTCAGCAGGAGAGCAGAGTACCGTACTCCACTTCCATCTGTTGCATATATTATACAGTTCCTTGCCCTGTGGTAGAGGAAGGTAAACGGCTTCGCATGACATGAAATCAAACAATTCGGTTTTGTTCTCATTGAATCGAAGGAAGTCCTTCCAGCTTTCTGGCAGCAAAATAGAAGGAGCCACCCTTTTCCTGGTGCCCTTTCCCTTTTCCTGCCCTATTGAGGCTTTCAGGCTAGCAGGTAAGTATACACCATAGCCAAGGTCGATGCGGATGCTTTTCTCGAGTTGAGCAAAGATGTATGGGGCAAACACTTTTTCTCCATACTCTTGAAATGTTTTTGATGTTCCAGGGTTGAGCATTTGAACCACAGCTTCACCATCAATAATTATTGCTTGGGCCACAGGTGCACTATTGTTTTCGAGCAGATTTGATTCCAGGCAGCGAAGTAGATCTGCTTTAACTCCAAACCGCATTTACCTCCAGTTAACAAAGCTGGCGGGACTGCCTGGTTTTCATGAGAGAAGAAATTGTCCATATCTCCATCCCTTGTCTGACACGAGATGTAAATCCTCAAAAAGAGACCACAGTCGCTCTTAAGTGCTGCAAGCTGTGCCTTCTGTTTTAACATATATATACCCTTCGCCGGCTGCCGACTGAAAAATGGCAACTTGTTCGTATGAAGTGTTTGTGTGACAGCTAAGTGTCGTACACTGCTCTAGCCTTTCTGTCACAAACTTTGTGTACTGCTCACCTAGGGTCTCAATCCTTCTCCCCGTTTCAGCCAATTGGATGTCCATGATATGTCGCTTGTGCCAATGACTAGTATGTCTTGACTTCGTTCTAGAGATGGATTCCCCATCTCTTTCAGTACTGTCAGAAGTTCCCATCCCTCAAGAATGCTGCCTGCACTCCAGGTTGCTGGTCAAGGTGATGTTTGTATAGTGTTAGCGGAAACGTTAGTTTGCTTTATGGCATGTTCCTCAAACTCTGTAGCGATTATTTAAATTACTTAAACCAAATAAAACACAAAGTAACTTAAAGAACATCTTACCAGTATTATTGAGCAGTAACGGAAAGGAGCAGTTTCCCTGACTTGAATTGAGGTTTGTACCGTATACTGCCTAGCTGCCCACTGACCATGCTATATGCATATGGTCAGTTACAAGACAACTACTGGTTTGGTGCTATAATTAGTGAAATAAACTAACTGACAGGGATTACGATGGAGACTATGCAGGGGAACCACTCCTAAAGAAATGTGAGAACATAGGGGGACAAATAAATGGGAAAACTTTTTGTAAACATCCAAAACTTGTTATTTGTTTAGTCAATTTTGACCTTGACCTTGACTTCATGCAAAGCCCAGAGTTCTGGCGTACCCAAAAGTATTACCAAATGAATTGGCATCCCCAACTTAGTTGGAAATGACACCTTAAACGTTTTTCTGGACTATTTAGTTCAAGAGTTAAGCGTGTTTGGACAATTATTAGACTATGCGGCGGACTGGCAGCCATTTTTGATTTGACCTCTCAGGGTCATCAGAGGTCAAATCTGATTTCGCTCTACATCTGAAAATGAATCTCATGGTCTGCAGGGGAACCACTCTTAAAGAAATTTGAGAACATAGGAGCGAACAAATGACAAATAAATGGGATTTGTTTCGTTGTAAACATTGAAAACTTGCTATTTTTAGTCAATTTTGACCTTAACCTTGACCTAAATGCCAAACCCCGAAATCTGGCGA